TCTTACTTGAAAACAAGAGAGAGAAAAGAGATGTCCTTTCTCTGCTTTCCAACTGGAGCGATCCAACTCCGCGTTCAAAAGAGGAGAGAGGCGGAGGGGCGGGGACAAGGAACCCGCCCCCACCTCCGTCGCCTGCTCTCCCTCTCTGGCTCTGTCTCCTGTGCTTTGGCAGGTTAACGAGAGAATAAAAAACTCTCCCTATAAAGTGTCCATCTCGAGGGGTAAGTGGAGTCGGGGGTGGGGCTGGGAGGCCGCTCTGAGCCGAAAAGGGGAACCTCAGAGTAGGCCTAAGTCAGAAGAGGCAAGGAAATGGGGATTTCAGGGTATTTCTGGGAGCCCCTTGCTTTGGGTGCTGGGCACTAGCATCTCAATTCATCCTAGATGCCCCTCCCATCCCGGATGAGCTGTAATAAATTGCTCCGGACCCAGGAAAGTGCCTGGGAGGCCCCTTCCCCAGGGACCCTAGCTACCTCCCAGAGGGCTCCCCACTTCAGGGTGGGAGTGGAAGAAGAGGGAGTATGAAGCTCCAAAGAAGTAGATGAGATCTGGAGCCTGGGACACTATGTTCCCAGAGGCCCAGGAAACGCTCTGGCACTGGGACCTGAGTGAACAGAAAACCCAGGACCTCTATCTGCTTCCTCCAAGCTTTACATTTCCTTAGAAGGAAAAGGGGATGGGAGAGGGAGCCCCAAACACTGGAGAAATTGCTTGAGACCCCTCTGTCTGGGGTCTATTATGCAGTGCAATTCAGAAGACTCAAACTGCTTTGTTTCACAAATCTGTCTTCAGAGGTTTTCTGCTTCTTTCACTACCCCTCCCAAATCAAATCCTCTGAGTTCACATTTTTTTAGAACCTCCAGTTTTTCTGGAGAAGATAGGAACTATTCTATTCTACATAGGGGTCATGGAAGTTATATAGAACAGACCACCCTGAGCTCTAGGTAGGCTTAGCTAGAGCTGAGCCTGAACCTGAACCTGAACCTGAACCTGAACTTAAGCTATCTCTTTGGAAAGGGCCCATGCAAACCGGAGTTGCAGGACTGTAGTGGAGATTATGGATTACTCTCAACAAACATTGCTAATAATTGAAGACACCAAGCATGAAATCCCCACTAGACTTTATTGTATTTGAAAACGACATGAGAGAAAAGGGAGATGTCTCTTTGGTAATTCCAGGAGCTTCTGCTGTATTATCTTTGCCATAGACATCTTTGCCGCAAGCATTTTTTTTGCAAACATTTTCACCGCATTACTAACTGTTCATTAGGCAATTTTGCCAGAAAAAACGATAAAATCAAGAAGACCAAAAAGGGACATGTAAAAGACATGAGATTCAAAAGACTTTACTGTGAAATACAAAATATTTTAATAAATTTAAAATGGGCATCGATTCGTGGCCATGCCGCATGAATAACTGAGTTTGTTTTGTGCATTGTACCTCTGTGCCCTCAGGCTCTCTTTCTCCTCTCAATGTATAGGCATACCTCGGAGATATTCTGGGTTCAGTTCCAGACCACTACAATAAAGCGAATATCACAATAAAGTGAATCACACAAATTTTTTGGTTTCCCAGTGCATATAAAAGTTGTGTTTACATTATAGTTATGTTTACACTGTCGTCTAGTATGTCTAAAAACTGTACATACCTTAATTTTACAATTATTTATTGCTAAAAAATACTAACCATCATCTGAACCTCTTGTGAGTTGTAATCTTTTTGCTGCTGGAAAGTCTTATCTTTAATTTGTTAAAAATGCAGTATCTGTGAAGTGCAAAAACAGGAGATATGCCTGTAGTGTGTTTCAAAATACTCTCGCCATTCAATTGTCCGTGGGAAATGTCAACAGGTATGAATAAAGACACCAATTGAAAAGAAAAGAAAGGAAAAGAAAAGAAACCAGCTCTTGGGGCAAACCATCACCCTCTGAAAGAAATGCTAACTATTTTAAGACAACCATCACATCTACTCATCACTGTATAGACCCTTATGAGGGCTAGCTAAGATTTCTATATAATATAAAAACGAAAGGAACTGTGAGAACTTCATCAATGGAGAAATGAAACCAAACCAAAAACTAGCTTAAATACATGAAGTCTGCGAAGGCAGTTAATTGATTTGTCAATGGAGAAGTGAAACCAAACAACAAAAAATCAAACTGTCAAACAATTGTTTTTTCTTTTTTATGGCAAAATTGCCTTATGGCCAATTAGTTCTGTAGTGAAAATGTTTATGGCAAAAATTCTTGTGGCAAAGGTGTCTAAGGCAAAGATGCTTATGATGAGAATAACTGACATGCTCTTCAATGCTTCCCAGTTTCTTATCAGAGCTTCTTGCTTGTCTAATTATGAAAGGCAGAAATACCATGATTTTTTTTCCTAAAGATTTAAATATTTTCACTGGCTTTTATTTGGTAGATGACAGTACAAGTATGACTAAATCCTTAAATTAAAAAAGTAAATAATCAGTCATACACTATGACCCAGCAATTTCACTCTTGTGCAAATAACCAACAGAAATAAATGTTTATGTCCATCAAAGGGCATGTACTAGAGTGTCGAAAGCACTTTATTCATTACAGCTCAAAAATAGGAACAAACAAACTGTCTATCAACAGTAAATGAGTAAAAAAATCACACTATATTTAAAAAATAAAGTACTGCACAGCAATTTAAAAAAACTACTGCTACGCACAACATGAATGAATCACACAGATATGTGGGTGAAAGGAGCTAGACACAGAAAAGTAACTTTTGCATGATTCTATTTCTGTGCAGTTCAAGAATATGCAAAATTAATCTATGGTAATAGAGGTCAGAAGAGATTACGCTGGCAGCAGATGGGGGACTCCTGAATGGGAGATGACATAAAGAAGCCTTCTGGAGAGTGTTCTTGATATCAATCTGCAGGCTAGTTATGCAGGTGTGTTCATGTTGAAAATTCAAGCTGTACATTTGCTATTTCTGCCCTTTACTGTACATCAGTTTTATCTCTATTTTATAGAAGGAAAAAATACAAAAATTTAAAGATTCATAGCAATATTGCCTGCCATTGTGCTTTTTAGATATGTGGTGTTCTTATCCATGTACATGGAAATGAGCAGCTAAATGCATGTAGCACTTTATTATTGTGGAATTCCGAAATGTCAAACTCAGACCTTACCCTGGAGAATCTCACCAGCTGTTCTGGAGACCCCTAAGTGAACAGATACATTTCAATTTAAATAAATACTGAGTATTCTTGTTTTGTTTAACTCTACAATTTATTAAGCATCTACTAGATCCCAGAGAACAGTTCTGACTGTCATGGTTATTGACATATGAGCATGTGTTCCCATTTCCTGCATATGTATATGTATGGACATCTGTCTACGACCTATCGTAGACCTCGGCTGGAGTCAGATAAAGTAGGATTAAATCTCCTTATCTGTAAAAACTATCTGTCTCCTTATAGGGATAATAATTCCTACCTCACAGGAATGCTGTGAAGATTCAGAGATTTTGCATAATGAAAGCATTTTATAAACTGAATAAATATGAGTTCTATTTGTGTTTCTGTATGTGTATCTATTTCTAATGAATTACAAGCCATCTGCTTTTATTTAAAAAGAAAAGAGCAGTTGCTCTAAAGAGTACTGGTCACTTCTCACTTGCCTCTCCCAGTCCTGAGTTTCCCAGATAGTGAAACTGAGGCTCAGATCCCCCCAAATCTGAGTTCAAGGCTGAAGTCCCAGGACAATCCAGGTATCCTGACCTCCCAGCCTGCCTGGGCTGAGCCAGCGGTTCTCGGAGCCTCAAAGACTCCTTTGTGTCCTGCTGGGAGCCTCCAGGAAGACCCGCTGGCCCCCTGAGCCTCCCCCCATCCCCAGGCCCCTTTACTAACCCAGCCAAATGCGCGCAAAGCCTCAGCTGCTCCTTTACATATCCGCCAGACACCTCCAGGAAGGTCAAGGCCAAGTTGAAAGTTAAGAGTCTGTTTACCTCCGGGAGCCCATTCAACGCGGCCCCACAGACTGCCTGTGACCTTTACAGCCGGGCCTTTGAGCACGGCCGCCGCGCCCCCAGGGGTTCTGGCCACGGGGACTTGGCGCCGCAGTGTCAGCTCCCGCCTCCGCCCAGGCTCTACCGCCCGCCAACCAGGGGGAGGTGGGCGAGAGGCACCCACCCGCCCCACCTGTGGCATT